TACTTGCTCATTCTCACACTGTCTGGGGAGTTCTTATCTCCACCAGATGACCAGGCTCTCTAGCTAGGATTCCCAGGCACAAGTGTAAACAAAAATCTCTCCTTTCAGCTCAGCAGAATTGGGTCGGGATTTATCAAAGGGAACTAAGAAACTCAGAAAAGAACCCAAATATAGATTAAGAAAACCCAAGAGTTTGCAAAACAGATGAGTGAGTTAACAAAATATAGACGTTTGTTATCATGATCTGGTGAAATCCACTTACTTACTTGGCTGTTGCTGATTCTTAGACCTCGGGTCTGGTCCTCAAGTCTTCTCAGGCTCTGATGTCTGGAATACGAGATGCTTTGGCTGGGGGAGGGGATCAGATTTCTTTACCATGGCCTCAAGATCTTGCGTGATCTGGCTTCTGCCGACCACTCCTTCTGCTCACCTACTTGCTGGCTACACCCCAGTCACCCAGATCTCTTAGTTCCCACCTCAGAGCCTTTGTGCTGCTCCTTCTGCCCAAGAAGCCCCTCCCCGCACTGTTCCTCTGCTGACTCTTTCTCATCCTTCAGGTCTCCGGTCACATGGCACCTTCTCAGTGAGGCCTTCTCTGATAACCTTATCTAAAGTGAGTTCCTCTGCTCCAACCCACCTTCCCCACTGCTGTCCTCTCTCCTGGCACCTGTTCGAGTCGGGGTCATCACTGCAAGCAAGAGAAGACAGAGCTGATGAACTTAAGAAGAGAACATCGTTGGAGGGTGTCAGGTGGCTCATAGAACTGATGGGAAGGCTGAAGGACCCAACTCCAGCAGCAGCCACAGGAAGCAGGACATAGTCAAGACTCTGCTACAGAACAGGTCTTACAAACCAGCCCTGTGTTAGCCAACCCCCCAAGACAGCCCCCAGCGACCCCACCTCCTGGCCTATGTACCTTCCGGTGGTCCCCCACCACCACCACCACTCACTGTACCAGGGCTGGTCACATAACCAATAAAATCCTGGAGAAGTGATGGCATGTCACTTCCAAGATCAGGTCATAAAACTGAGATTTCAGGCCTACATGCGCTGTAGAAGAGTCCCTCTCTCCCTCACCTTCCCCCTTTCTTGCTTCCCTCCCCCTTTCTCTCCTCCTCCCCTCTCTCCTTCCTTCTCTTGTCAGGACCACTGGGAAAGCCAGTTGTCCTTTCAGGAGAACACTTGGGAGTCTATAGAGAAGCCCACCTAGTGAGGATCTGAAGCTTCCGGCCGTCAGCCATGTAAGAGGAGTGGCCCTTCGAGCCCCAGTCAAGCCTCAGCTAAGTGAAGCCCAGCCTTGACTGCCTTGACTGCCACCTTGACTGCAGTCTTGTGAGCTCATAAATGTTTTGTTATTTCAAGTCACTAAGTTTTTTTTTTTTTTAAGATTTTATTTATTTGACAGAGAGAGGGAACACAGCAGGGGGAGTGGGAGAGGGAGAAACAGGCTTTCTACTAAGCAGGGAGCCTGATGCAGGGCTCGATTCCAGGATCCTGGGATCATGACCTGAGCCAAAGGCAGATGCTTAAGGACTGAGTGACACAAGTCACTAAGTTTTAAGGGAATCTCTTACACAGCAATAGGTAATACAATCAGTAAGTGACCCTGAACTTGAGCATCATCCCCTCTAGGTTCAACGTCTCAGGAAGGGACCCCGGAGTGGCTATGCTTGGCTCACACTCCATATTCTGGTTGCCAGGGGGGTAAGAAGAACTATCTGTGCCTTCCTGGCCCCTGGTGGGTCCTGCCCCGCACTGTTCCCATCAAGTAGGAGGGATGATTGTATGCTAAACAGCCAAAGCAATCTGTCTATACTGCAATGTTCCATCACAGCATTACCACTAGTTACCATTCTCTGACAGGATGGCCTTCTTCTCCTTTCTCCTCCTCCTCCTAATTTTGGGCACACAGCAAGGCCCCGGAACTAAAGACAACAGATACCCCCTTTGCCCAATAGTATAGGGGAACTATTCTCAAAAGTCAAAAGTCTGAGTGCCTTAAGAACGCCAAACCCTGGGGAAACCTCAGGGCAACCTCCTCTCGGTGGATTAATGGGTGGGAAGAAGAGAAAATTTGGGAATCGGGATCAAAAGATACAGTTCTGCAACTTTTTGTAGAGCCAAAGGCTAATGAATAATCAAATCTTCCCCACTCAAAATATATGTATGAAACAGATACTTTAAAACAGACCAAAAATTCAGCCATGGTCCCAACCCCAAAATAAATCAATGTTTTATTTGTGCATGTCTCCTTATTGACCTTGTCAATACGTACCTTCAGATTTTTCTTTCCTGAGGATACCCTAGATAGATTTCTTGTTTTACGTTATCCTGTAACATTAGATCGTAAGTATTATTTCCACTTCTGTAAATATCCATTATTTTTTTTCTGTTTACACTCCCCTCCCAATCACAGTTTTGTTGGGATCCTTCTACGTATTTAAGAATATGTTTGTTCAGGGGCACCTGGGTGGCTCATTGGATTAAGCATCTGCCTTTACCTCAGGTCATGATCTCAGGGTCCTGGGATTGAGCCCTGTGTCCTGTCAGGCTCACTGTTCAGCAGGGAGCCTGCTTCTCCCACTCTCTTTGCCCCTCCCCCTCCTTACACTATCTTTTTTTTTTTTTTAAGATTTTATTTATTCATTTGACAGAGATTACAAGTAGGCAGAGAGGCAGGCAGAGAGAGAGAAGGAAGCAGGCTCCCTGCTGAGCAGAGAGCCCGATGTGGGGCTCGATCCCAGGACCCTGGGATCATGACCTGAGCCGAAGGCAGAGGCTTTAACCCACTGAGCCACCCAGGCGCCCCATCCTTGTGCTATCTTTAAAAAATATATGTTTCTTCATATCATAAGAAAAGGAATCTTTGCCAATTTTCCGCCCTTTTCTCATTTAACTCTATCGTGGAAATCATGCCAGGTTAGCAGACACAGATCTAACACATTTCTTTTGTAGCAGCTGCATAATATTCCAGGATGTGGGCTTGTCACGACTGATTCAGTGGTTCTTCTGTTGGTATACATTCAGACTACATCCAGGTTTTACCACTGAACAGCATGCTGTAACGACACATACTTGTACCCATATGCTTGGGCATTTGTGCTTCTATTCCTACAGAAGAGATTTCTAGAAGTGGAATTTGCAGGTATGTATATTGTAAATGGGAACAGTATTTACAAAACACTTGGGAAATTCACATGTATGAAGGGACCTTTACTTTGCATTCTACCACTAGATGTTATCATCTATTTCAATATCTGACAGTTAATGCGTGAAGAGAGATAGCTCATTGCTTGAATTTATATTTTCCCAATTAATTGAGCATCCTCCCAAATGTTTATTAACCATTAGGATTTCCTCTTTCATGAGCTAACTGTATATATCCCTCGCCCACTGTTCTACCAAATGTCTTCTTCCTATCAATTTCATTTATCCATGTACTCATTCAACAAATACTCATCAAGGATTTCACTATATGTCACATGTTAGGATTATGGTATTGAACCAGGCAAGTACTAACCCTAATGAAGAGACCCTTGTATGGTTTCAATAGTAACCCTTTACTATGTCACCCACCTTGAAAATCAGCTCAGATGTCTAATTGTATTTTCAAGCTCTTCCCATACCCATGCTCTAGGAGACTGCTAATCTTTATAGTTTTGGGTTTTATGATGTAAAATACCTAATACCAAGCACCACCAGCTATTAATTTGTTAGAACAGAAAGAGCACCTTGCTGATACGCCACTTTTATGCCCTTCACGTTCACTGTTTCTATCCCTCCTTCAAGCACCTGTGACCTTCTCCTGAAGGGCCTTTTATGGCCACAAGTTCATATTTAGCCCTTGAGGGGAGCAGGACAGAAGTGCCTGGGGGAATGTCCCTGGGAGCATCCTTTTACCAATGACAGACAAAGAGCTGGTGAATGAATACCCCAGTTCCCTCCTCCCTTAGGTGGGATAACTCAGAGGTGTGTGTTCTCCACTATCTCCGCCATCAAGAGGAAGCCTCAGTTGTCCGTGATGTAACCAGCATATGAACCCTCTCCACAAGGGCTTCCTTCCCTCTCTATTTCACTTCCCCACTGGTTCTTCATGGAGTCATCTTCCAAATTAACTACTTGCCCTCAAATCCTTATCTCAGTTTCTGTTTCTGCAAGACTTCAACTAAGCGCCCTTGGTTTGCAGATGAGAAATAGCTTGATGGGTGGGAATGTGGCCTCTGAAGTCAGAGGTCTGGGTCCAAAGCCTGGTTCTGCTCCCGATTATGGCCTTGAGTACATTCTAAATCTCTGGTTCCTCCTCTGTAAAATGGGCCTGAAAGCTGCCATGGTTATGATAAGGATAAAACTAATTTTGTCATTTCCTCATAATATCCAGTGGAAGTGATATTAATCATTAGTATTAGAAATATAAGAAAACTGCATCCTAGAGAGTACAAGTAGCTCACCTAAGGTCACACAGGAACGTGGGACTCATGTGCCATTTCGAAAGACCTTAATCCTCTATCTTCCCGGGGCCCAGGGATGTTACAGTCATAGGGTACCACTTGCCTTGGACTTTGAATGCCCCTAGACTCACAGGAGGAACTGGGTATTTACCAAAGCTGTCGAACAGAACTTTCTGTGCTGATGGAAATACTCTATATCTGCATCCAATGTGAGGACCACTAGCCAAACCACAGGGGCCAATTAAGTACTTGGAATATGACCAGTGCAACCAAGGAACAAGGTTTTTTATTTCATTTACTCTTAATACAAGTAAATAGTCATACACAGCTAATCACACAGCTCAGGTCTAGAGAATGGGGGTTGGGCAACGATGAGAAGAATCTCTTAGGTTCTTTTCTTCTCCCTTCTTCTCCTCCCTTGCTTCCTGCCCCGTCTCCAAGTGCCAGCTAGTCAGCACCCAGCTTTCCCTCCTTTGAACATGCCAGGTTCTATGGCAGGAAGCACAGGGACTGTGACAGCGGCTGTATTTTCATATACCCAGCAAAATGAAACACACTCCTTTGTGGTCCTGGTGTTGAAAGACAAGACGAATACCTACTATAAATAAAGTTGAATAGAGATCCTTTTCTAGACAGCTTCCATTGTTCCCTGTTCCTTTCAAGTGTTCACGCTGAGATAATTTCCAGCTTCTCAGACCCTCAATAGTTATAAAACATACCATTACCTCATTTTCATTTCATTAGATTCACAGGTCACAAGACCACACTGATCCTTACCAACTTCATCTTTAATGGTTTCAAAATAATGGTTCTTTCCGCTTTAATGTGAGCCCGATACAGAACTTCCTACTCGTGTATTGTTACATCTCCTGCTTCCCCTTTCACTCTCTGTCTAGACAATAGCGGCTAATGGAGTTTTCCAAATGCCAGTGTGCATTTCACATCCACGAAGATGCGCCCCATACTGCTCTGTAACCCCACAGCTGGAGTAGGAAAAGGAGTCATTTCTCTCCAAACCATCTAATGCTGATGGATGGCATGGAAAGGTCTGCCCAAGTCATGTATCTGATAAACCGTCAGCTCGCCCAAGCTACATTTCCATGGCACCTTTAGTTAACTCTGCAGGGCACGGTGGGACGCGGGGGCTCTGGAGCCTGACAGATGTGGGTTTGACAGACTGTGTTGCTTAACTATGAGGAAGAGTAACTTACCCTATTTGAGACACAGTTTCCACACCTGCAAAATGGAGGAATGGGATAATTACTTTGCAGGATAGTGAAGGACTAGATTTATGTGGAAAGCAGGATGTTGGCCTTAAAAGTATGAACTCTACCACTGGGATACTGCCCTGTGACATTGGGTAACTTACCCAACCTCTCTGAGCTTCAATTTTCTTGCCTATATACAGGGGATCATAATAATGCCTACCTTTTTTTTTTTTTTAAGATTTTATTTATTTATTTATTTGACAGACAGAGATCACAAGTAGGCAGACAGGCAGGCAGAGAGACAGGAGGAAGCAGGCTCCCTGCCGAGCAGAGAGCCCCATGTGGGGCTCGATCCCAGGACCCTGGGATCATGACCTGAGCCGAAGGCAGAGGCTTTAACCCACTGAGCCACTCAGATGCCCCTAGTGCCTACCTTTTAAGGTGTTGGGAGGATTAAATAAGGATGTATATATAAAGTCCTCGGAGAGTGACTGACTCAAAGAAAGCATTCACCTTTTATTTTGTCCTAAGGAGGGCTTCTCACCCCAGACATTAACTTTTTTCTTTAGAGCAGGATTCTTTTTTTTTTTTTTAAGATTTTATTTATTCACTCGACAGAGAGAGATCACAAGTAGACAAGTAGAGAGGCAGGCAGAGAGAGAGAGAGAGGAGAGAGGGAAGCAATCTCCCTGCCAAGCAGAGAGCCCAATGCGGGACTCGATCCCAGGACCCTGAGACCATGACCCAAGCCGAAGGCAGCAGCCTAACCCACTGAGCCACCCAGGGGCACCTAGAGCAGGATTCTTAAGAGTGTGTGTGTGTGTGTGTGTGTGTGTGTGTGTGTCTGTTTTGCAGAATCCTCTGACCATACATAGAAGCCTTTGGACCTTTCTTAGAAAAACATTTGTGAATGCATAAAATATGATAGCGGTACAAAGAAAACCAATTATATTGAAATACAGTCATCAAAATGGTAAAAAGACAAATGTGTCTGTAGTCCTGTATGAGCTTCTTCGTTAACGGATTACATAATAAGATCTAGCGGCAAGTCTAAGCTTTCCATAATTTCAAAGTAATGATGAGTGCAAACAATAATTTAAGACATCTGCAATAACTGTACTGTGATATGAAATATCTGTGATTTCCACTGGAGACAGTGTAGCAGGCTCTGCTAATACCTCTGTTGCTTACATTCATAATGGAAAGAATTGCTTAATTTCAGTTAGAGGTAAATGAGAACAAAGAAGCAGGTTTTTCCCATTCAAGTTCACAAACCCCGGACTAAAGCCTCCTGCTTAAGAAAATACTTAGTGCCCCTTTATTCTCAACTGTGGGTCCAAAGTCACAGATTAGGAGGTACCCCCAGGATTCCCCCTCACATCTCAGTAAATGGCTTCTGACTGGAAGAGTAATTTCAAGATGGGAGAGCATAGTCCTACAGGAGCGTGTGTCAGGTTGACAAACCACTACCAGCTAGCTAATGCTTACTGTGCGGTACACGGCAGGCACTAAGTGTTCTAAGTGTTTTACAGATGTTAACTCAGCAACATTCATAATAATCCTTTCAGGGAGGTCCTATGACTATCCCTGTTTTACAGAGGAGAAAACCGAGGCACAGAGAGGTTAGGTGACATGCCTGAAAGTCACACTGTGAGTAAATAGTGGAGCCAGAATTTGTACTCAAGTAGTCTGAATCCCTGGTCTATGGTCCTAGCTACCAGGCTATGCTATCTTTCTATTTTGAGTGGGGATTGGGATTCAGATTTAAAAGAACATCTTGTTAACCTTAAATGTAAAATACTCAGGTATTTACCAGCAAAATGAGTTTATTTGGAAATTGTGGAAGAGTTGCAATCTGAGACATGCAGGCTATGGCAAACCACACAAAGCAGAGGAACTTTACTCTATGGAGAAAAAGGAGGAAGTTGGAAGGGGTTGCTCTGAACAAAAGCCCCTTGGAGGAAAGCAGCAGCTCAGGGTGATGATGGCTCCTCGTTGGCTGAATTATGGCAGTTTCTCATGGGCTGGGCTGTTGCTGGGCGAGGAGAAAATCTTCCTTCCTCCTGCTGGGTAGTCTTCCTGTCTAGGAATGTGAAACAAGCTGCCCTGGTAAGTTTGTGGGTGAGAACTTCCCCTTCGGGGCTTCCCAACTCCACTCTGCATGAGGTTTCCCTTTATTGACTTTCACAACCTTAAGGGTGAATAGGAATTCATTAAAGAGGTGGCAGAGAAAGGAGGAGGGAAGATGGAAATGTAGGAAAAGGGTTAAGAGAGTACTTAAGCAGAGGGAACAGGAGGTATAAAGGCCCTGAGGTGGAAACAATGTGGTGAATGTAGGGCCCAAAATGATACCTGTGTGTTTGCAGGTTGGAAAGCAAGAGGGATAGTAGCAAAATGTTAAGTCTGGATGGCAAAGTTCCAGATCTCACAGGGCCTTGAAGGCAGCTTTATCATTGTCCCAAGGACCATGGGGAGTGATAATCAGATCTGTTATTTAAAAACATTCTATTGAAGAAAAAGATAGGGAGAGAAGAAAGGGTGAAAGCAAGGAGCCAAGTTTGGAGACAAGGAAAGCAGTATAAGCTAGGGGTGACAACAGCTTGGACTCGGTGGTGGCCGGGGAGGACCAATTTGAGAAACATTAGGGGGAAGGATCTGGTGTACGAGCTACGGGGATGAGGGAAAACTCTGTGGCCCACTGGATTCCCCAAAGGTGGCCACAGCTCTATCTCCCTCCCACAGTTTCTGCTCAGAGTGAGAGCCCTCGACACTCCTCCCATTGAGAGGGGGTCCGTGAATCTGGCCAGCCTTAGGAGGCATATGACTTCCACGACTATGTCAGAGAGGGCAACACATCTCCTCCCTGGTTCTTTCAACCACTCTCCCAGGGCACCGAGCTCCATGGAAGCAGCACAACTACTCTGAAGCCACCATGTTGTGAGGAAGCCCAGCCTAGCCCATGCAGAGGCCATGTGAGGGGAGAAAGATGTCCCTCCGGCCTCCAGCTGCTCCAGCCCTCTGCTGTTCCAGCTGCAGCCACACTGTCTGACAAACCTGGAGCCAGCACTGCCCAACTAAGCCCTTCCCGAATTCCTGGTTCACAGAAACTATGAACAAGAATGAAACACTTGCTTCACATCACTAAGCTTTGAATCTGGAACATTCATCCTTCAGATTCTGCCTCTACTGACTTGGCCAGTTATCCAGTTCCAACTCTCATAAAGAAGACTTAACAGTCTCAGTCTGGGTAATTTGTGAGAGACCCTGAAACATGGTAAATGGTTTCTAGGTATGTTATCTCTGTAATCACCAAGCCCAGCGGTTTGTAAACCTGGGAGGAGACTTGTTTTTTTTTGTTTGTTTGTTTGTTTGTTTGCTTAATATTCTCAAGTTTTACCCTAAACTCACAGAATCAGAATCACCAGGAAACAGTGACCCAGGACTTGGCTCATCTTTGACATCATCCTTCACCATTTTTATGATTATTATACTTATACTCTATTTCTATAACCCAATATATATAGGCAAATTTGGAGATGGATCCTTTGAGAATTTCAAAGGAAGGGAGGCATTAATCAGATTGCCCTGAGGATCCGAGTAGCACAAAAAAAGATTTACTTACCTGCATCAAAGATAATTCCTTTTAAACATTTTCATAAGTATATTTCACATGGCTCTGAAAATAAAACAACTAAATATGTGCCATCTAGGGTAATAATAATTAAAACAATGTGAACTGCCCCCAAAAGAAAGGAATATTATAGAATCAATAAAGAGTAGGATACCTGGCTGGCTCAGGGTCTCGGGGTCATGAGTTCAAGCCCCACGTTGGGTTTTTATTTTCTGAAAAAAAAAATGAAAAAAATAGGAAATGCTACAGAAGCAATGAAAACCCCTAAATTTAATCCTCCTATTAAAAAGAATATTATATGATAAACAGATACAAAAATGGTTTGGGGGTGTTATTTTGTGTTGAAATGGCTTGGAAGAAGAGGGAATCTAAATGTGACATCATACTTCAATATTAATTGGATTAAATAATCAGGTATTAAAAGGGGAAAAGTAAATCACGGAAACATTAGAAAAGGAAAATGTATATTTACCACATTTTCAGGAGGGTGAAAAGTCAAGTTAAAAACGTGTCAGCTGGGGCACCTGGGTGGTTCAGTGGGTTGGGGCCTCTGCCTTTGGCTCGGGTCATGGTCTCGGGGTCCTTGGATCGAGCCCCGCATCGGGCTTCTCTGCTCAGCCGGGAGCCTGCTTCCCTTCTTCTCTCTCTGTCTGTCAAAAGAATAGATAGAAGCTTTAAAAAAAAAAATGTGTCAGCAAAGCTGTGTTCCTTCTAGAGGCTCCGGGGGGAA